CCTTGACTGTGACGTTCAGATGATCGGATCACAGCCAATATGACTCATTGGCCCTACTTCTTGTAGAGTCAATATCTGGTGAGCTATCAAACTGTCTGGATAAAGATGGCTTGTGTCTGCCAGTACTTGGTGCAACGCTTAGACCCTGACAGACAGCTACTGGCTCGTTCTTTGACCTTAGGAACGCATTTCCCCCCCACCGATTGGCTGGTAGATGAAGAGAATAGGACGGAATGATTATTTTAGTTGAATGCAATCACCCAAATAAGTGAACTTTCAATAACGGTGTTGTATGAATGTTTTTACTTGTTGATCATAGTTTGATCAAACTATACACAAAACAATCATTAAATGCCAAATTTATATATTGCTATAGAAGGTTTTGACAAATCTGGGAGACTATAGTGAACTTGGGAAGTATAGTCAATCCATACGGCTATTTCCCTATCAGCTGAGCTGTTGCTAATTATAAGAGTTCGAATCCCATTAAATATACGTGAACTTATTACTCGTATAGTTTGCTAATGACATAATCTCTCCCCCTTAAGTTTTCGAAGTCACATTACCGCGAGAAAACATTACTCAACGTAAATATTACTACAAGAATACCTCATAGATCCTTCGGTAAACAGACGCTAACAGTTTACAAACGTATATCACTACGTGGACGACCACCTGTAAATCATTAGGAAGATAATCGAATTCTACAAGTTCTGTAGACATTTAGCCGAAATGCAAATTGACACATGTTTAGCATATAGGGGTGATAGAAATCGGCTTCTAGGAAGTAGGCTTGGCCTGTAATGGGACGATATCGTGGCGTGACAACCTCAGATGTATCGCTCTCTGTTCCAATTTGTATGTAACCTCGGAACCTGATCCTTCCTAGTGCAGGTGCGTTTACCCAGTCAAGACACACCGCTGAATACTATGGCTTTGACTATGGATGAAGTACCAGTTAATGATGCAATTTTAGAATAAAAACTAACGTTGTTGTCGAAGTTGAATATGATTCCGAAAGACTGTAGGCTGCCAGTTACTTATACCTGCCACACTAACTCTTTAAGAAATGCAAACTAAAAAAATACAACTTATTTACAAACAATATAAATTTCATATCACATCAATTATTTGCCACATTGAAAACTAATTGAGAAAATGTCATTTTGACAGTAGTTTACTCTGTTAGAGGCCCATTAACGAAGAATTTGAATAACAAATTTTGCTTCAGCCGATTTTTGTAGATTGGGTTTCATACTTAAAGGCCAACGAAAATATTTACATGATATATTTGTAAGATTTTGCCTGTCCCCTGGTTTTATAATCTAAGAGTTATGTGCGCGTTAAAAATTTAAATTTACCCAAAAACTAAAAAGATGCATTTAGTTAACATAATTTGATCTCGAGCGTAACCAAAAAGAAACACATTCAAATCGGCTCCAGATTCTTCGATAAGACGATAAAACATCAGTACACTCTAATACCTGATTAAATACTAAACTCCTCGGAACATAGATTATGCAAGATTACTGGCTTACATTCATCGCTTGTACCCAGAGCCACAGATGAAGTGATTGTGCAGTACTTGGTAGTCTGACCTCCGCAACGTCACGAAAAGGCTACGTTACGTTGCGTTACGTTATGGGAGGCGGAGCGGCTTAACCGATTATTCTCGCATAATCCACACGTCAGCCTGGAGGTGGAGGGTCATAACACTGTCACTAGCCTCCACCATCTGATGTCTCACTCCTTCCTGCACTATTCCTCAATTCTTCTTACTCGGTGTCTTTCTCACATTCCCTCTTACTCTGTGTCTTTTACAGATGCCATTCTGCTGATTATTCTCTCGTAGTTTACAATTCTGGATGTGGAGGGTCTTTACCCTTGCTGCCTTAATTCTTCCTTCACTTACTATTATAATTTCTTCTCCCTCTTTGTCTTTTCCAGACGATTTTGTACAGATTATTCTAGTATAATTCAGTGAGTCTGGAGGTCGAGTGACATTTAACACAGTCACCAGCAGATTTGATGTATCCCTCCTTCGCAGCTACATGTTTCTTCTTATGGCTCACTTGGCAACTCTCGCGTAAGTGCAGCATAATGCGGTATGGCAGAAGATCGTGCAATACTCTAGTAAAAGAGATTACATTCCGTTGAATATTCTTTAATATCCTACTACTTGAATTGACGATTCATCTTATACATTTTACGTTTATCATAATCTGTAGACTACAGTGCCTCTCTTCATGATCTTGATTGTAATGACGCTTTGCTCTCTTGACTCTTTCCTTCATCTCACATTTATACGACTTGAATGTGTTCCAAAATGCCTTTTAACAGGCTTGTTTCATTTCTTACTTCCTTAGCCTGATAATCCATTGTGTTTATGAAAACAATACCTTACACTAGATCACAAATTTTTCCCTGCAACAAAAAACCACTGCCTTACCAGTCAATAAGAGATGTAATCACAGCTCTAACACATTCCAATTCCTCCCTTCCCTCCAATTATCCACCCATTAGTTTCTCCTACAACAAAGCCAGCCACGTTCGGGTTTGGGAATGAAACTCCAGATTTATGATGCGAGGTGACGAGGGGCTTTTAAAATTTCCGAAACGCAGCCCTAACGACCGTTTAACAGGCTCCTTATCAAAATTCCGACCCTGTTCTCTCCCTAGCCGTGCGCCGCGCGCCACCTAGGTGTTATAATTAGTCAGCTAACAAGAAGAGGGAGCGGTAGGGGTTTGAATAGGTAGAGGGAGAGGTGGGAGGAGGGAGGCGCATTCCCGTCAGACCATCAATCACCTCAGGTATTGAGTGAGTGGTTAAATAATTAGTGACGGAGGTGATGAAGACGTCTCGGCGGCTCGAGGCACACTCTGACAACATCTATCGCATGTGAAAACTACACACATTTCAATCACTTCACACTTGAGCTTTTATGGAAGTTTAAGTAGTTTCTCTTAAAACATTGCATGTTACGAGAACTCCTCCCCGAAGGAGTGATAGCACATATGTACGACAAGGGTACCGGCATCGAAGTATATAACACCGTACAGAGATGAGACTTCTCAACTAAATTTAAAACGCAGCCTCCATCAATCACAAGAGAGACGAATGGTTTGAACTATTCTTGGTGGTAAGAAACTCAGATTTTCAAACGGCATGTTTTATATCTGAAATGCACATATTGGTGTTGCGTAAGTTCCTGAAGACCCTTCTTACCCTCATCCCACATCAATTTGTTCGTTCCGCGTTTCATATCTGTATACAAAGCTCATGAGGATCGGCGAATATCTCAAACCTTTGACCATGGAGAGTAGTAGACATTCTATTCCCCCCATCAAGTTGTAGCCACTTTAAGAATAACGCCGTTGAATTTATCCATCTACACAGTCAGTAACTGATTGCTGTCGAATACACCAACTTAACCTAGCAAAAAGGACAACTCACAGTTGGCCAACCCAGCTTTCATATCATATGAATCACTGTATCGGAAAGAAAGTAAGAGAACATGTAGAATTTTAACGCTAGCACGATGGGTCACAGGAGTGGATCGTGAATTTGAATGACAGATTGGATACAGCTGGTCAAATAGATAGGAAACGTATTCCCCAAAGTCCATAAAAGTCAATGCTCATACGTACGGAATACAACTTGCATATTCTTATTTCAGGATATCCCCTCCGGTGCAAAATCCTCCACGGCCATCAGAAGACAAAGTGTTACAGTGTTATGCAGCGTCGACGCGCGCCTGGGGGTCAAGTTAGGGACTAGCCAAGTCAAGCTTTATAAAGTTGTCTGTACCGCAGGGCTCGGCTATTTACATCATATTATTTTTATACCGCATCGCCATAAATTTTGGAAACAATAAAGAAGACCAGCGACAGCCTAACGAGGCGACCCACTATTTATGGCCCGGCTTTATCATTTTAATTGGACAAAACCGTTGGCGAGTTTGTCTATAAATTATTGGAAATATTTATCTGACTCAAATTCTCGCCGACTTGACAATCCGTGAATGAATGGGTTAATCATCGCCCGACGACTGGCTGTAGGCTAGGCCGGGAAGATGGAAGACGTGTGGTAGTTGATGTATCTACATTGGTTGAAGGTATGAGAAGTTTGTGGGACATTCTGTGTGTTCCTCATTGGAATATGGACACTATAGAAATTTGCTTTTGTCTATAAAATATCATGGATTAACAATACGAGGTATAATATCTTGCTGAAACTTAATTAGGCTAGGTACTTTGAAACTTAAATGAATATTCAACAATATATCATTTTAGTTTATGGAATATCAAAGGCACCAAAGAAAAGTTAAGTTACCCAAAGAGCAGGGTAGCAGAGTGCTCGCCTGATAATCAGAAGGCCGCGGGTTCGATACTGAGAAAAGTCTGAAGCTCTTTGATGGTTCTAAACTGTACCTGGCAGTTATTGATGACCAGTGAAAAAACTGACATCCCATCCATCAATACTAGTCCTTCACTCATCTTCACCTTAAACTACGTACCCTGGAGTGTCGACGTCGTATAAATATAATGTATATAATGTTGAGTAGCTGTAGCAGATTCTAATAAATCTAAAGTTTGCTCACACTTGATTGTATAATTGCTCTCTACAAGTATAAAGTCTGCACGATTCATTTTCAAGCCTCCATTTAGGAGAAATGGATGTATGGAAAAAACTTGGACAATGGAATTCCTTATTATAGGTAACTAAATTCAAAGTTATAGTCAAAAACAGCCCTTTTCGGATGTACAAATGTTTGTTGACAGGGATTTCAAAAGCTTTGTTTAACACCAAAATTTGGTCAATCTAATTCAAATTGGTATTTCCATATGTTTTAACGCAGTTATTGCGAACCAGTAGTACAAGATAGCAACCTATTCTAGCGGTTACCTACTGGATGACTTTCGAAAATATCAGATTGTAAAGAAAACACTTGACCTTCCGAAACGAGGGCTGAAATGAGATGGGACGATGATGATCAAGAATGAGGTCGAGGGGGATAGAACCGCCCAACTCTGAACGCGGGGGCTGGACCATCAGGCTGTATCATCAGCCATATACTCGGTATCATCACATATCATCAGACCAGCTTGCCAAAAATGACGGTGATCTCTGCGGAAGGCAGGACTTCCAGTGGTTTATGAGTTCTTTGCACTGGTGACTTGTTGGCCCCTTGGGGTCAAATTGGAAACAGGTCACTGGCAAATCATTATGCTCTTGAACGTCATGGCCTCCTGAAAAAGTTAAGTAGTTAATCATATATGACCATTATTTAACTCGTCAAACGTTATGTTTCATTATGTCATCACTTGAAAAGGAAATTACATGAAATTAAAGAAAAAGAATGTGCATGATGCTGTAAAAAGAAGAAGAAGAAGAAAAACAGCACTGGATGCATGTATTAACTGAATAGCGAATTGAGAATTGACAATGGTCCCTTGTCGAATTGAATGATTAACAAACCACCAATCTCAATTCTCACCCAGTATATTGTTTTAGTCTTTTGAACTAACAGCACTAATCTTTTTTCAGCCATTATATTAGTTTCGTGTTTCAAAAAGTCGTTATTATACGTAATTTTTTAAAGTGTTAATAGATCTAAAATATTTAAGATTGAATCAGATTGCATCCTAAAATATCACATGTTATAGACAAAATTGGGGATTTCATAATAATCGAGCAATGTTGTTGCAGCAATGATTATGAAAATATTCATGCAAAGTGTCATTCATAAACTGTAGAAGTAAGTTTCACAATACGTTTGGTAGAAAAACTACGCTAAACAAAGTTTCCCACTACTTGTAGACAAATAGTTGAACAGTCGGTGTCGACTTCGCTCCCCACAACCACACATCAACATTATGTAATGAGATGATGAATGGTGTCGGTGTTGGCTACCGTGAATTGGCGCAATGCTTGGCATGTATGCTAATTCTAACCTTACCGTGATTAATATATCTCAGGCTGTCAGAAAGCGGTTGCCTTCTAACTGTCAAACACCTCACAAGGCTCCGGCGTATGTACACATGGGTGTAACCTTTGACTGTAGACACAACCAGACATTCCTTTCCCTGAACGTTGTTTAGCAGTTGAATAATAAAATGGACGTTATTGAATTGAGCCACTAACAAATGTGCTGATAAAAATTACTGGTTTTTCAATAAATTCAAACGGAAATCACAGCTTCAGGAACATTTCAACAAATAAAGTATTTGACTATGCTAGCGTGCCAGAATAAAGCTCTTGCATGATAAGTGTAAAAACGTTTATGAATAAAAATAACTTAATAAACTTAAAACTTACCCTATCCTATACTCTAATATGAGCAATGTTTGCTTGTATGTATGTATGCTTGCACATAGATATCGAAAACGGCTTTGACGATTTCCTTCAAATGTTGATAATAGTAATGTCTTGCCTAAAACGTGTTAAATGCAGTTAAAACTGCCAAAAAATTCTAATTACGTAAAAAAAATTAAATTGGAAGTCAAAACTTTTTAACATTGGGCTTATGTGTTGCTAAGTAACCATGTTGGTTGAACAAAATAGCAAGGGAAAAGTAAACAAAAGACTTGTAAGTTGTAACATGTGTTCATAATAAGCCATCTACCAACAGT